CAGGTGAAAAGGAATTTTAAATGGAAATGGAGTAATGTGACACACACACGCACACACAGGTCACCAGCAAAGGTACCGTCATACCAAGTCTACCTCACAACTCTCTAAATGTGACAGTACTTGCTTTTTCTGTGGTGCCGTAAAAATCACAGACTTTAGTTTCAAGTCTTGAGTCACTCGTGGTTTCTTTATACTTTGTTTTCAAGGAGTCAGACTTTCTTTTATTTGTATATCAACCAAATCACACCAGTCGCCTCAAAGTGCTTTATACTGTAAGGTAGAGACTCTACAGTAATACAGAAAAAAGCCGAACAAGGCGACCCGCCGCATGAACAAGTGCTCGGTGACAGTGGGAAGGAAGAAACCTCCGGCAGCACCAGGCTCAGGGAGGGGCAGATGGCCGCACCTCCCTGAGCCCGGTTGGGGGTGAGGAGAGGAAGCCAGTGGTTTAGGTTTGTTTTTGAAGGTGCAACCCTAGAATAAGCGTGTCCCCCGAGGGGGGAGTGGTGACTGGAGCAGACTTCACTCGACATGTAGGTGAAGGAAACAGAGGTGATGAGGAGGTGCCGTGTAGAAATGCAGAGATGGAGCAGTTTTTGCAAACAGGACAGAAAAGGCTGCGGGGAACGAAGAGGTAGTCCACCTGTGTGGAGGAAGGTGCACACAGGTGAACTTCAACAGGTTGTGTGTGCCCAGTTCCATTCATGATGTAAACAGGCTCCTGTTACCGCAAAATCTAATAATGCATCACTTTTGCTGCTTGTACAAACCTGGGACATTTTATTTGTCAATGCTTGGTTACATCTGTGGCAGATCTCTCTCCATCCTCCCTCCACGTTGGGCGTGGCTCCCTGTGATTGGCCCTCTGCTCTCGACAGTGAGCCAGCATTTAAATCTGTGCAGCGTCACGAGAGATTTGCTCCAGTGTGATAATCCCTGAAACCCTGAGATCCTCGACAGCCCGTCAACTGTTTCTGCCTCACAGCTGGAGACAAAAGATGATCGAGGGCTTTGTGTTTGGGCTCCTCGGTGTGGAATGACCTGCCCGAGGACATCCAGTGTCTTCCTTTTAAATCACTGCTAAAGACTCATATCCTCCATTTTTGGTCATTTTTAGTATAGATTTTTTTATTTTAACATTAATTTTAAGTGTGGAATCACATTATCTTATTTTGATGCTGCACTTCAG